CTGATTTCACCCAAATGCACCACAGAGCGCCACAGAAAATCCTTCCTGCCTGTGGCCATCAGACTGTACAACTCTTGAGTGTCAGACACTTTGAGTGAAAAGGTTCACCGTGGACTTTGGACTGTTTAATATTGTGCAATTATCATTCTATGTGCAATAACGTAAATAGCAGTACTGTTATTATTACATTTATATACACTTATAACAGCAAGAATGTATATTTATTTTGTGCTATTTTTTTTTTCATTTTATTTCATATTAATACTTTGGATTTTATTATATATCTTTACTTCTACTTCTTTAAGAGTTTGATTGGGAGCATCTGCAACTAAAAGCAAATTCCCCTGGGGATCAACAAAGTATTTCTGATTCTGATTGTGATTTGCATACTTTGTTTAGATTTTTGATTGCTGCCTATCTTTTATTTTTAATTCACAATTGTTAAACATTGTTGGTATTTTATTGCTTGTGTTTTCAGGTTGCCATGACCTCAGTTTATTTAGCTTCTTATTCAGCAGATTTAGCTAATAACATTCATGATGGATTCCACTACAGTAGCAGAGCCTTGCTGATACATATGCTGGTGCTCAGGCTTACAAGGGCGTCTAAATGCATCATTAACATTATTGATCACACCAGAGCTTCCACACAGTGCAAATATCCGCAATGAGCAAGATCTATTTTTCATATACATGTAGGCGTGCTGTCCATTTTAACACATAAAACTGTGGTGAAAGACAGATGAAAGTAGCTTGTTGTGTATAAAAAATAAAAAACCCACTGTGCATCAGAGACAGGGCCATGGCCAAACACTGACCTCAATATGTTAACACGCCACTGCAAACGATACACACTCCAGCAAGCAAACAACACTGGAGTGGCAGTAGATGATGTCCACACCTACGAGAGGTCATGTGCTATGTGGAGTAAACTGGCTTTTATTATCTCCCTTTAACATTATAATGTGATATGAAAAGAGGGGATGTTTTGGATGTTTTCCCACTGCAGAGTAGGAAAAAATAAATAAATAAAAATTCAACAACCCATTTTGGTCACTGCCACTTCTGCTGTCAGAATTTGCAATATCCTGTGGGCTGTAAGTTGGCGGAAAACAGAAATACATACAAAAGAAATGATAGAGGGGGCTTCATGAAGTCATGCTCTCATTATTTTGACCTGCCAACAGTCTGCTGGGTAAAAAGCATGCCTCCATATGACTTGTAGCACAGGACTTTTATCCCTTTTTGGAAAATGACAAAAAAAAAAAATGTCACAACACCTGGGCTGTAACATTATTTTGTGTCTGGTCTGAAATATGCTACATATTGTTGAGGGGTTGCTTTAAGTTTTGTGTTTTCACTGCAATTCTAATCTAATACATTTTCTTCACAGTCTGCTATCGGTCCGTTTTTGTGTGTGCAATGGAGAAAAAGTCTGATGTTCGTCCACGGCCCTGTAAATGAGAAAGAAAGTGCCTCGGTCCAATGCACAAACACGAATCCAGCATGTTCTGTGCATGTTGGGGCTCGTGTATAGTTGTATTTCAATGTCTTGTTATAGAGTAATAGGTACCGTCTATCTTTGTGTGTATCTGTGAACAGTCTCTAGGTTGAGTGCTAAGATCTAACAACTTGATATTTTACAGGTGAGCTAGGAAGGGCTTCTCCTTGGAATGGTTATATTTTGGGGTCAATCAGGACAAAAATTTTAGAAAACACTGTATACCTTCAAAAGAGTGGAAAGTAGATGTATGGTATTTGGTGCAGATAAGCAACCATGTTGGGGCTTTCAGTTGGTGAAGTTACAGTTGACCTTGGATGACATTTCAAGGCCAAACTCAAGGTCAGAAAGCTTGGCTGCACTGTAACTTGAAAACAGTGCGAGATAGACACATTGTTTGTATCGGAAACCATATATAGGTTTTCCACTGAAGATGTAACATTTGACCTCGGGTGACAGTTCAAGGTCAGATTTTTTTTTTGGTATTGCCATTATGTTTTAAATAATATGTGATATATACATGGATAGTATCCATTTCACCTTGGACAACCAGCCATGGTTAGTGAAAGAAAACACGTATGTTGTAGTAAGTTGATCGTTTAATAGAGCTTCGCGTTAGTTCAGACAGGCATGGAGTCAGGGTGTCACATGGCCCCTCCTGTCCAATCGTCATCGCTAAAGTCCAGCCCACCCACTTAGCGTGCTTTATAACTGAGGCAGCGTTCATTCATTCTGCCCGCTTCACGCTCACCACATCGCTGCTACTCCAGCCTCTGCAGATCGTCAAGTTTCCTCCTCCTCCCCAACCACCACCTTTTAAAAACATATAACCCCGGTGTTTCCCATATCGTGGGATTGTAGGTTGCAGATGGTTCATTATTGTACCTTGAACTATGTAATCTAGATTCTGTAAGTGAAGACTATTTAGTTGGTCTCGTGTTCTCGTGTTCATACCGTATTCAAAAAATTGTAAATTGTAAATTCATGGCTCTGCGGGGGTTTGTGATCTCAGGGATTATCTGTGTCATGCTTGCGCAGATCGTTCCAGAGCATCACGAGCAGAGTCACGGCCAAACTAAATGTATGTGATCTCAAAATAAATGGTTAAAATCTGACAAAGTGTCCTGTCTGAACTGGGGCTCACTGCAATCATGGCCAGTAGGGGCAACTACATCCCTCTACCTTCTAGTTTTATTTTTGTTTTGGAGACAGGCCTGCAGAATCGCAAACACCACCTTCAAGCTCCCGAAGCAGACAAACAAATGTGGAATCAAAACCAAATTGTAACAGCTGTGATGTCAGTTAAATCATTCTATGAAGTCAGTCATGTTGCTAAAGTTTTGAAATTGGTAGCCAATAGTTTTTGTAATAGCTTTGTTTGATGATAAACATCACAATCAATGAATTGATGAAATATCCCTTAGGCTACAGAAATGTAATGACCCTAAAAAATGATTTTTTTTTTTTTTTTTTTTACATCTAGGTGTCTTAAATTGCATAAGAATTTCCATTTTTTTAGTGTAATATCTGTAAATTCATACTGATTAATAAAAAGAGATGGAAAAAAAATCATGCTGCTAATAGTGCCACTTAACACTGAAGGCTAAATTGTTATTGCAGGGCAAGATAAATACCCCACAAAGTCGGTCAAAGAATACGCTTTACGATTGGGCTTAGATTGACAAGGTAATGTTGAGTTAATACAAGATAACTGTAGGTTATATTAGCCAGCTGTAAAGTTGCAATACATGCATTTAGACACACACAACGCCAGACAGGTGGGTTACCTGCCCATCAATTCACAGTATATGACAAGCTGAACTAAAACACCAAAGACCTGGTAGACCTAATGCCAACATTATTACTGCTCAGGCACATTTGAGTTCGCCTACCATCTTTAATATTCAACTCTACACCCACCTTTGATCCAGTGACCCGAGCAGACACAGTAATTGTCATGCCAGTGGAGGTGGTTGTTCACTTTCTCTGTCAGCTTTTTCCTCCAGTAACAGCTGTGCCCACTCTGCTCTCTGTTGTACTGTCAGCGGTCAGACGTCCTCGCCCTGGTACTTCACTGTGTCCCTGTAAAACAACTTTTTATCCTCCCGCCGGTGATGTGCAGAGCTTTTTTTTTTCAGTGTCCTGAATCACTAGAATTGGTTCGTTAAAGATTAATTTAAAAAAAATCAATCCACTAAATCGTTCAGTGCCTGACCAGAGTTTCAAGTGTGCTGTCCTGCACGATGAACAGAAACACAGCCAGACAGTATATATTCCTCATGATCCCCAGCTTACAGAGGCAGAACGCTGTAGCTTTTTAACACACCAAACTATGTTCATATATATTGATATTTTCAAAGTGTTTTCATTGAATATTGGAGACAAGCGCTGGTTTTAATTGACTTTTAAGTGTTTTTTAACTGTTCTACAGCTCAGCATCACTCCTAAACTTAGCAGGCCTGATTCAGGCAGATTGAGCCACTGACTATTACTCATATTTACTGTCTGGGACATTCAGCAAACAAATCAGAAAAATTGCAGTGACTCACAGCTGCAGCAGCCCAGAAGAGTCTGCACTTTCCACTCATACAGGCCAATCTAACATATCCAACCGGGTTCCCAGACATGGATTAAGCCTTGTGTTAGACTGTGTGAAAAATGCAGTAAACATCTCCATTGAACAAAGTTTATAGTCCAGGGCTCGGCCTAATCCATGTCTGGTAAGCTAAGTCTTTAAGTTTGTGTTTATCGGGAAAGTCTGTTAAAAACAATGCGAAAGTTGTGCGATTGGGTTTATGTGACTTTGTGTGCATAACCATGTGAGAAATTAGACCATCATCTGCCAACTCCGGCCTACGAGAGCATAAAACTGAAGTCACATCCACTTACCACTTGCTCGCATCAGTAACTTGAAGCCCCCACTCAGTGACTGAGAATATCTCTGCATGTTTACTTGCGACTGACTGAGAGGTTAACTGGACTGAGAAATGAACGGATTGTGTCGGGAAGCGATTGCGTTCAGTTTGTGCAACCATAAGATTTGTTATTTTTTTAACCACTTCCCAGGCTGAAAAATGAAGCAAAGGTAAAAGTGTCACAAAAAGTTGTAGGTCCTCGAACGGCCACTTGAGGCTGAGTCCAAAAGTGAGTCAATTCTCATAAGGTCCAATGGGAAAATGTCTAAACTACATATTACAGATGCATTCATGAGAACTGTACAGACTGATTTTTTTTTACATAACTCATCAATTTAGATTGTATGAAAGCTTAAAGCTAGTCTAATAAAACACTTGCAAACCAAACCACAGCACTGTTTTCCCAGAGCTCTGCACCCCTACACACATATGCAGCATCTTACATTTACACTTCTTCTGCATTGTTTTGCTTATAGTCCTCCACTGTGGTGATGAGACTCCCCAACTATGGGGGAACCACTGTGGAGTCACATTTTATAACAGTGACGAAAACTGGACGCCAATATCAACAATTCTGATACAACATTTTAAATGATTGGTTCTTTTAATAATACAGGATCATATGCAGCATTGGTTACACATTTTTTAAAATTGTCAATATATGGCAAAATAAAGTAAATAAATATACTATATAGATAAACAAAACATCCTCTTTTCTGTCTTTACAAAGGCATGTTTTTTCATTCAAGCTGCCACTTTCCAACATCTGCCAACATCCATGGGACTAAAGTATGCTCATCATAGCTCCACCATACTCACCTGTATGTTGCATGATGCAAGTTAATATTGGTTTTCATATCATCTCAAATGTTCTGGCTACTCAGAGGTGACACCCCACAAACACCGCAGTGTTCTCAGATGTTTTATGATTAGTTGCCTCCCTGTGGTTATTAGTCTGCAGTCATGTTGTGTAACATTTTTGTAAATTTAAATACTGGCTTTCCATAGAAATTCATGGAAAAAGACTTCACAAAGAAAATAAGGGAATCAGTGACTACATGAGAGAAATAAGCATCGATATTCAGTGCAGATAGCTATTAACCGGCGTTACTTTTGTCCTCCACTGTGATGTCGGTCACGCCGTGAACTTGTGTGAGCTGCTTGCAGTCCAGCGAAGCCAATAATTTCCTCAGTCCGGGAAGGGTGGGTACGAAGTGTTCAGTGAGAGACACGGAGGCATGGCTGCCAATATCTCTGAGGGTATGACAGGAAATGACAGTAGCAATCACAAAAGAGAAAGATAGGCAAGGTAGTTTAAAAAGAAAGAAAAAACAAAAAAACCTCAGTATAATATAAAGTATATTTTTCCTCCTCACCCATAATTAATTTTTCGAGCAGGTAGAAGGCCGAGTCCTTCCACGTGGAATATCACTGCCTTCAGCACCTGGGGTAGGGGGTTAGTAAATGAAATCTCTACTGCCATCTTCTCCCCAACCGCGGCCTTCCCGATTGGCTGTGTGACGGCAAAAGAGAAAGAAAAAAGAAAGTCAGATCCAGAAATATATTTTAATCTTCTTCAGAGCAAAATTTTCCTGATGAGTCGTGTATCTTACCTTTATGACGAGGTCTGGGGTCCTGAGTCGGAAGCTGAACTGAGTAGCTAGAACCTGCTGTGTTTCCTTGACTCTGCCTGACAAGGTCAGCATCAGGGCAGCCTGATCTATCAGCTGGCCCTTGTAGTCTTTGTACTCCATGATCCACTCGAAAATCTTTTCTGTAGACAACAGATGAAGGTAAAAAAAAAAAAAAAATAGTGAATCTTAGGTAATTTTATTGCCTCCAGTCGGTGGATTTTTGGACTTTAGCAAAGCCAAACCTATTTATGGTGCTATTTGTGCATTGGAGAATGGTATGACTGCACCTCATTATAATGCGGCCGTTGGGGGAAAACCACTATGGCTTCTTTGTGTTTCTTTCAATCAAACATAATTATCTTGGGCAGTGCCAAGCCCAGCATGCAGCAACAGTGCCCCTGCAAGCTATGGTCTGTTTTTAGACATGAGATGCACAACATTCATCAATCTACTAAAACGTCAGCATTCTGTCATTTACCCGCTGCTCACCTTTACATTTTATTTGTTGTGCATGAAGTGATGTAATATACACAACAATGAACTAATAAAAGATTAAATCTAAATCCACTATGTAACAGATGATTTACCTGCTCACCTGTCTGATGTGAACGTATACAGTGTGACTTGCTGTCAGATCCTGATTAATTCTTTCTCCACATTGGGGGTCATTTATAATTAGAAGTTATTAATGAGGCTACTTTTGTTGTTCCATGTGTGTAAATGCACAAAACCTTCTCTATTTGGAGATGCTCATGTGGATCCTGCTGCTGTCTGACACTCCAGGTATTTAATTAATTCAGAAGAAAGGCTCCTACAAGCAGCTGCAAGCAACAAATTAAGCTTCAGCTCAATGCAGCTAAATGTTTGTCAAAACCTGGATTAAATTCATTTTGAAAGTAACACAGAAATGTTAATGAGTCTAACTAGATTGTTGCTGTGAGTTTCATAGAAATGTTACGATGATGCTCAAGACAAAGGGTTTTATATTCTCAGCTCTCTGCTCTGTAAAACCCTTTGTCTTTGCACTGTTTTTTCAATTTGCACATTTTGTACAGTTGTTTTACTTATTTTATTTTATTCACTTATTTTTAATTTTTTAAATAGTATTTAATTTTAGCTCTTTTCTGTTGTGATTGGTGTTTTTTCTTGCTGCTGCTGTACCACAGTAATTTCCAAGACTGGGATAAATAAAATATTTTTCTACTCTATTTTCTATTCTCTTCTATTTATTCAAACATGATGCTTTCAAATGTTTTCAGATTAACAGAGAAGTTCTATAGTGATGAGCAAATTGCAGGCAGATGGGTGAGTAAATATCATGAAATTGGGGAATTCACTGAAAGAACCAAGCAGACTCGCTCTATTGCCCAAATTTATATCAAATCTAGCCATTTTGAGTGTGTAGGTTGCTTCTCAGAGGTAGTTTTTGTTTGCCACAGTGAAGGGGATTTTGAAATTGGTAACATGCAGAGAGCAGAAAAGGAGGAGAGAGCCTCGTGAAAGGTATGATGGAAATAGCAGGCTAAAACCCAGAATCTACATCCAGTAAGTCAGACTACCTTTGGAGAGGCTAGCTGTTTCTGTAATCTCATTGTGTCTTCACCCTCCCCAAGACACTCCACTCACCCTCCTTTGGCAGCACTTCCACATCTGTCTGGTCCTTCCTGACCGTGGCTTTGTGGACTCCGGTGTAGTACATAACTGACACCTGGCTGTGCAGGGAAACATTGCGTTTTTCTGAGCTGCTGTTTCGCACCACGATGGTCAGTTCTACATCCTTTCCCATTTCAGGGCCTTCACCATCCATGAGCACTTCCAAAGCGACATCCTGTGCCGTTGGAGATGAATAGGCCTCTGCTTTGGAGCCGTAGCTACACGCCGTCTCCACAGCAATGCGTTCTTCCACTGTGTCTGAGAATAATCAGAAATGTTGAGCTAAGTTAGCAGTTAATACAGCAATAACAACTTAGTTTATTTTGGCAAGAGAGCTTGTGATCACCCTGAAGCTAGAAACAGTCTGTGCTGCGTTTGACGATACCTTCGAGATGTTTGTAAAGGTGTGTGATATCATTGCGCTCATCGGAGCCAACAGCCTTGGTGCTGATCAAGTGTCCCACAATCTTTTTCTCACTGTAGATTTGACTGAAGGTCCCATCCACATTTTTCTGCCAGTAGATTTTATCGCTGTTCACCTGGAGGGGGGGAGGCAAGAGACAGAGTCAGCAATGAAGCCCTGAACAGATGGGAAGCTGTCATCTTTGATGGATGCCATATGGCTCATTATCAGTACTCAGTACACATATTTTCTCTTGCATCAGTTTTTTTCTTCACATTTTGAAAGTAAAAAACAGAATTTGTCTTTTTTCAAGCGGGCACCACACCGTAGATGAGCTGCAGATGGTCGTTTATGAAGTAAAAATGTAAGTGTGATTGACTAAGCGACTGCATCGGCTTCGCTGAGGATCGTGACAGCTCTACAGTTGGCAGACCCTCTCGTAAACAAAGAGGAGAGAGCCAAAAAAAGAGGCAGAAAAAGAGGCAGGGAGGGTGGGGCATGACAAGCAAACACAAACAGGTGTGCAGGGCAAGAAGGCGTTTTATGAAAAGAAGGTGTTGTCCCACTCCTGACCTGAACTACAAAAGATTAAATGTGATCTCCACTGAAAGGAAAATACATATTCCACAAACCTCTGCAAACACAAAAGGACAGTCGTGCTTGAGGAAGACCTGACCATAGCGGACAGCGGCGAGAGAAGCAGGACCACACTGGAAAGTGCCCTGGCTGGTCTCCTGAGGCGTGGCGTCCACAGCCTGCCAGCCTCCGTTACCTGGAGGCAAGTCTGGACGAGCCATCCAGCAGTCGTTCCACACGTGAAAGTTCCTTCAATGAAAGATTCAGGCTTAATGAACCACAGGGTGCTGCGTGTCGTGACGAGTAAACCCGTGTTGTGTGCAGCTACGTGAGAAAGTCAGTGACCGGGCATACCAGATAGAGTCTGCGTTGAGGTGTTCTATGGGCTCCAGGTTCTCGTCCAGGTATACATCTGTCGTCAAGGAAACATCTGTGTCGTGAGCTGAGCTAAAGTTGGTCACAGTTCGACCGGGGATCCCGAAACACCGCAAAACTGAAAAGGAAGATGATAGATCAATATCCGTGCAACATTCACTTGTCACACAAATGAAGTTGAACACATGTGGCGGGGTGATAAAAACCAAAAACAACCTGCTAACCTGTTGTGAAGACGCCGGCAAAGACCCAGCATTGGCCATATTTCACAGGGGTGCCACTGCTTTTATGGTATTCGTTCAGGATTTCCACACTTCCACTCCACATCGTTGGAGAAGATCCATTCGAATAGTCTCCTGACCAGTTTCCCTCCAGGACACCGCGGTCATCTGGGGAGTTTATCTAGACAAACAAACAAAGTTCTTGTTACTTCAGGGCTTGCAGCTATGAACTCAGCTACCTAGCAAAGAAAAAAAAAAAACCTTGTTCCTCGAGAAAGAGAAGAACTTCCCTTTTCATTCGTTTACAAGTTCATCATTGAGGTTGCTTAACAAGATTGCATTTTCCTTTCTGAAAAGACAGTCAAGAGAACTATTTGGAAAAACCTAGAAGCTAAAACTAATAATACATATTTTGTACTCAGAGTAGATGGAACAATGATTGCACTGTATGTATTATAAGGACGTGCAGATGGTAAACAGGAGAAGGACTCTGCAGCCGCATGACCTTGACGATTGCAGGGTTAATATAAGAAGTGCAGCATTCATATTCAAAAGTAATCCACTGGGAATTTGGTCATCTTTGGCAGCTAAAGTTGAGCTTGGTTCTGCTTTTTTGCACAGACCTCCTTGCTTTTGTACAACCACTGTGAGTCAGGATAGGCTCGATTTAAATCAATCTGAGGGCAGCATTTTTAGCTTGATGGTAGCAGCAGCATACTGACATGCTCACGATGACGACACCAGCACGCTGATGTTAAGCTCGTAACGTATACCGTATAGTATGAATATAGTGCAGTGTGCTGACATGCTAACATTTGCTAATTTGCAAAGGAAGAAGTTGGTGTTGATGTTAGAAATATGTCAAGAGTGGTCATGAAACAAAACTCTGCACAATTCAAAATAAACAATCACAACAGTACATCCAATAGTTGTCAAGATAGATCATTAGAAAAACACAAATGTGACATTACGAAGATCACTGGACCATCTTCTGAGGACCATGTACAAACTGTCTAATCCATCTAGTAGATTTCATCATACTTCACGGTGTTTCTGTAAACTTTGACTCTTAAGCCAGTGTGATTCATCCTCTGGAGCTCTGTTGACAGTCAAATCCTGTCGTTGTGGAAACATCTCAGTGAGAACCGAAGTCCTCTGAGTCAAGCTACTACCGCGGTTAAAAATAACGGGACTTCTAGTGATGCTACAGTCATGACTGATCTTGTGGTTTAAAAATAGTTTTCTCCTGGAACACTCATGAGCTTAATAGTTTTCCTCCCCTTAGTGTGCATTGACTCATCGCTGCTATTTATTACATCTCACTAAAAAGCCAACCAGAGAACAGCATGTCGGCGGTGTCATGACATCCCTGAGTGGATTTATTGATCGAGCCACAGTGAGGGTGGCCGGAGCCAGAGTCAACTAGAGGTGGAAGAAGTAAAAAAATACTCCATTACAAGTAAAAGTACTGCATGAAAAACTCTACTTATAATCATCTTTAACTGTGTGTTGTGTTTTTAAAAGCTTGTGTAAAATCTTCATCAAGTAACTAAAGCTTTCAAATAAATGCAGTGAAATGAGCATAAAAAATGGAAAGTGCAAGTAGCATTGTAGTTGTAATTAAGTACATTATTTGCGTACTTTCCATGACTCTCGCTGAATAAATGAGCAACATGGGAGCACTGACTGAGCTGACTGAAAGAAACATAAGACTCTATGGATGAAGTTCAATTAGTTCCCACTAAAGAACTGCCAAGAAAGGTTTAATTTTGTTATGATGTGGGAGTTTAGTGAATGGAGCTGTATTTTAAAAATGCAGTTTTATTATTATTTTAGCATTGTTTTACTGTGTAGTCACAATTTTATTGGCGACAAGAACAACAATGTGTTGTTAGAGTGAGAAATGTTGCATAACAAATGAACAGACTGAGGATTTGTTTTCTGTGTATGGGAGTGTGAGTAATTATAAGATTATGAAGGATTTAATGAAGGGTGGGGAAAAGAGGCCCGTTTGTGAAACTGAGACGTGTGGTGTTAAAATACACAGAGTTTGTGACATGGAGATGTAATCGGAGCTGAACCCAGAGCAGGGAGCTGACTGATGAGAGCCGAGAGGGCTTCTCTGGAACCAGCCTAATGGAGGCCGACGTGCCCCGAAGTCACGGTGAGCAAGTTGGAGGCAGTTAACGGTAAAGTGAGAGACTGAATATTTAAATGGAATGAAAAAACCAAACAAACAGCAGAGACCTTTCTGTATAAATGTACCATTTTGTAGTAGTATTCAAAATGGATGCAAAGAAACCTCCACGATTATAAGATCTACACTGTAAAAAAAATAAAAAATAAAAATTCAGTTAAAAAAAAAAGCAGCCTGTGAAAATCTGGCAGCAAGGGTGCCTAAAAAAATCAATTAAAAAATGGAATTCTGTAGTGTTCAAAAACTATAAAGTCATGAAAAATACATAAAAGATCTGTAAAATAATTATATTTTTTAGCTGATTTAAATACAGTAAAATTATGCAGTTTTACAGTCAAATATTTTCTTTTTTTTCTTTTTACAGATTATGTGTTAATTAAAACTTTTTTTTATTAATACTGTTTTAGCATTATACTTTACTAGTTATTATATGTATCTGTTGAGGTTTTTTTTAGTAAAAAAAAATATTTACAGTTTCTAAATTACTATTAGAACTAATTATTCTTTCACATGATGAAAGAAAAAAACTTTTTTTTGCTGATTTAAATACAGTAAAATAGTGTAGTTTTACACCCAGACATTGTACAAAGAACAAATTAACATTAAAAAAAAATTTTTTTTTGATGTGGACATTATTTACAGTTGATATTTTTTTTTTTTACCGTTAACATATGAAATCAGAGGGTTTTTTTTTTCTGTGACTTGCTATCATGTGTTATTTCCTAACGCAGTGAAAATCCGTAAAATTAAAAACTAGTTTAAAAAAAAGAAGAAGAAGAAGAAGAAGAAGAAAAAAGCGTTGATTATTTACAGTGGACAACACTGTAGCTGTTGTGCTGAACCTCGTCTGGGTGTAAGGATGGTTTCTAACATGTCATTCTGAGCAGCAGTTCCTATTTTTCTATGTCTGGCTGAGTATGAAGAGAAACTCTGTACGTATGAAGGTCGGTCAGTTGTCGTCTCACCATGGCTGAGATGATTCGCGACACATTAACTGGGTCTCCCCAACCGGATGCAGGAGTTCCGCTCTTTTCCAGGACAAAGAGGCAGGCGGCAAGGATCCCATCATCAAACTGAAACCAAAAGAGACCAAAACACGAGGACGGCGGAAACAACATGTCAGTTTCTGCTGTTGGGTCTATTCATCAAACACTGACACTTAAAGGTCACAGAAACCTCCCACCTGTCCGTAGTTCCACGTCCTCACTCCAATCTGGTTCTGTGTTCCGTAGTAGATCCGTCCGACATCGTTCAGGACGTATTCCTGCTTTTCCTCTTCAGAGTCCATGAACACGGAGTCATCTGACGGAGAGACACAGAGAACAGCTTTGAAACATGAAAGCACTCCTTGAAAACGTGCCCAGTGGGATTCTTATCTTTTATTGCAAATTTTATGTTTTTTTTTAAAGTCGCATCAAGATCTTTCCCTACAAACACTGTCTTACAGTCTGTGAGGGTTTACGTTGAGTTATTACTAAGCAGATATTATCCTGACTGTTTAAGCACCTCTCTGCCTCAGACACATTTATACCCAGAAGCTCTGTTGCGGTCCGTTGGACATGAAAAGCTTGTAAGAATCACTATCGACTTATGGGCGATCGTAAAGTTGTAATGTTTGCTATTTTAGAGGCATATCGTTTACTTTTGTGCAGAACTCTTTAAAGAAATAGTTTGACATTTTGGAAAATTCACAGACTTGCTTTCTTGTTGAGCATGAGATGAGAAGATAAAACTCTTGCACCTGTCTGTTAAAGATAAGGGTGCAGAAAGCAGCTGGTTAGCTTAGCATTTAAAAAAAAGTAAAAATAGAGAAAGAGCTAACCTGGCAAACAAAATCAACCTACCAGTACCTCTAAAGCTGAGCATGTTGTATCTGGAGGAGACTGGTTCTCTTTACAAATTAACTCTTGGAACCCCAAAACCCACCAACAGACACAGAAGACATGTTTTCTTTAAAAAAAAAATCAACAATGATGAGCATATTTCATTGAAGTCACTTCGTGTTTATGGCTCCATTATTAAAAATAAACTGTTTGCACTAAACGGACGCTGTAAAACGACATACAAAACAAAGATGTACTCTGCATTGCGACTCACAAACCAAGTCTGGCTGAGCTGCAACCAACAGTCCTCTGGATGAACTGAAGGCTGAGCTTCCACAGAGCAGGAAGGGCGCAGATTTAGAGGAAGATAAATGATACCTCGATAAGCAAAATTAAATGTAGCACGGCTCCAAAACAGAACACAGTGGAGCTAATTGATTTTATTTAATCCTTGTTAAACATTGTTGGAGTTTACGTGCAGAAAAATGTGAAGTAAAAAAAAATCAGTCTGCAGAAGTTGTAAAAATGTAAATATTAATCGATAGCATATGGAGCCAATATTTTTCCAATATTGTTAACACCCGTGGACACAAAAATAATGTCCATGTTGATTTCAGATTTATTTATTTTTTAATTTTGTTGAACAAAAAATAGAGAAACTCAACTTTCTTTCTTTTTTTATGATTCATGGCATTATAACTCATTTCGTTCTCTCTAATTCTACTCATGGTTGTACTGCTTCCACAGAGATGCAGGACTTCATATTGCAGAGAAAAATGAGCCCAGAGTGAGTAAAAAATGTGGCAAAAATTGCTAAGAAACTGCTTGGGGTTAAGAAGGTTAAACAAAGTTGGTATAATGAGCTGATTAGTGAGCTTTAGAGATGCTGGTTGGGGGATGTCTTACCGTTTAACAGAGCCAAACTAACTCCTTCTTGCCTTCATGTGAACCTGAGCTGACTGGCTGTTTGTTCCAGCCTAGTATTTATCAGATAAAGATATCAGAGAAGTAGAGCTATTCTTTAAAGTATCTACATTCCATTTTAAAAATCCAAACCTGTTTCTGTTATTTTGACCATCCCTTGCAACAGTTGTTGAAGACACCAAGCTTATATAGTAAATCATGTTGCATCGTGCAGCCCAGGCAGGTTTACCTTCACACCAGGGGTTGAACAACATGTAGATGTCATTGGCAGGGTCATGTGTGGAAACGACCGGACCGCTCGCACAATTGGTTTCCACCGTGAGTCGATATTGGCCAATAACCGCTGTGGGTGAAGAGTTCACCGACAGCTTTATCCTTCTGCCGTCCTGCTTCACCACAGCCGCCCCCCAGCGATCATCCTGCAGCTCCCCCACCAAAGGGACGATGACATGGGTTCCCTTTGACACAGCTGGCAGCGATCCTAAGATGGTGAGAGGAGACGCACAACACACAACGGGTGAAGAGAGAAAGCAGGTAAGTGTTACTGACATGCTGCAACAGAAAGTGCCCCTCAATTAAAGCCACACCTACATTCCTAACTTGTGGAGTATGTTTGAATAAATAGAAACCAAATAGAGAGATTGCACAATGCACTGTACTGACACACACAGACACCTTGTGTGGCAGCGTCAACTCGAAAAATCTTCACTCAGGCATCAGCAGTTTCAGCTCCGGTGTTACTTCACTGTCCAGGACTGAGTTGTGAGGAAACTGTGGGGCTTCTGCAGCCAGTTGTGTATGAAAAGAAATACTGTAATCTATAATGACAGCTAACATTTGCAGCAGCTCATGCATCTGTTGGAGAGTGCTCCATTTGAAGTCATATTAAAGAGCCTTCCCTCTAAAGTGATTGTGGGAAACTGCACCGTCCATCCCCGGTGGGTGTGACCTCGTCTTTGTTCGCTTGTGTTTTCAAATGCCTTAACAGAACGGATTTTCTTTGCTGCAGTTTCGCCACGAGATGTTCGCTTTTATCTGATTTCAAGCGTGGACTGACAGGCAGCTGATTGGGTGAGATAAAAGGAATCAAAACCTGCTTGCAAAAGAAATGAACAAAGTGAACGAAGCAGCTATTGTGGACAGAAACAGAGTGGTCGGCGCATCACAGCGACCGAGAGGCAGGAAAACAGCGGGGAGATGCCGGGGCAGCAGAATGAGTCAACAGCTGACAGCAAAAGCAGCAGCTGTGCACCACTAGACTGAGTGATAAAGACGGGCTTTCTGGTGACAAGTTCATTAACATGAACAAGACACACTCACCAGAGGAGGCCTACACAGCTAAATGTTGAGCCGCTTCTGGTGCTCCAGTCAGGGGAAAATTTCTCCCTAACACTATTACAATATCTTTTTTTGTTGTTGTTATTTTTTGGGCCTTTTTTTAAAATGAGAAAGTCAAGAGAGAGACAGGAAAGTGGGGGAGAAGAATGGGGGGGAAGGACCTGCAGGAAAGGGCCATGAGCGGCACATGAACCCATCGCTATCGCAGTGCCCCACTTTTGCGATATTTTTAAGTCAAATATTAATTTGTATGACTTTTTAAAGCCTGGACAACTAAGTCAGTGGGTTTTAGTGACCACTGCATTAGAAACAAGGCAAAAATTACACTAGTGCACAAGAAGCATCAGGGCAAACATGACAGACAGGATGTTCCTAGACAGCTAAACTGTCAGTTACATTTAGAGGGACACTTATTCTCAACATATCTGCCATTTACTGTATTGCTTTACTGTACCAGTCATACATCAGATAGGACAGGACTCATGACAAACAAGTTGCAAAAATGATCATTTCTTTTAACCGAAGCAATGATATTTTCTTCAATACAACCATGTAGCTTTGGTGCCTAAACTTAACCAAACTTCTAACATGTGCTTATCATTGTAAAAGTGTCAAAGTGTGATATTTTCCTAAACCTAATCACATAGTGTTAGTGCCAAAACCGAACCAAATATGAAGTGAAAAGTCTGTAATTTATGCCTCAGCCCTTCCATCCTACGTCCTTCTGTGAACTGTGCAGCTTTTTCAAACTAGAAGCTTTTCCTGCTGGTACAAAACAGTGTAAAAATTAGTTTGTTTCAGAATGAAATTACTTTTAAAACAAACATGAAAATGCAGTTTGGTTGTATAGGAGCATCATTTTGTGGAGACAGAGTTGCAAAGCAGTCGTTTGAATCTTGTGGTAAATTGCTGGTCATAAACCCTCTAAAACCACACTGACACTGTTACACTTTGGTTTTAAAGAAACACGTTAACTAGTGAGCTTCACACATGCTCTTAGGAGGGTTTTTGTTCTCATCGGACAAAGCCAGGCTAAGCTGAACTCAGCAGGTCGTCTCTCATCTAACTCTCAGTAAGAAAGCAAAAAAAGCAACTGTTCCTCGACACTGTAAGTTTCCCTCAAACTCGGCCCTAAAGCCCAAATGCCAACCTGCATACAGCAGATCTCATCTAAAGGCACATTGTTATAAGATTTGGTGAATACATTCATGCTCCCACGGGGAATAAACACTTTGGTTTTTACTGACATTGGGGTCTTTTATCTGCTGCACCCTCCAGAAAAAAAACTTTATTTTTCCACTCCTACAACAGGTGAGGTGGCAAAAACTGTCAGTGTGCACTTTAGTCTGCCTCACACTTTCATTCTGTCAAGTGTAATGAAAATCACAGCCTCTCTGAGTCCTTAACGGGGGATTCGGAGTTTGGACGCAAACCAGAAACTCGGAGCACTCAGCCGTTCACCTGAATTATAAAAAACAACTATGTGTGTTGTTTTAGGCCGGGCTGTGATTACCCTTTCAAGCTGCAGGGCTTGAATTCAGAGAACACAGTGCTTGGACTGAGCACTGTGGTTTGCAACACTATGAAGGGAGACATGAGCAGGAAAATGGCACAGCAATTGGTTTTTGAAATTCAGTGTCCACCATTTGGTGAGTGGTAAAAAAATAAATAAATAAAGGGCATTATGTGCAGCTGCCATTGTCCTCCTGCTAATTGGTGGTGTGACAGATGGCTTTTCAAAATTATAGGATGATTATTCATGATTGGGATTTTTGTTTAAACTACATTGTGGACTTTGGATTTTAAAAGAATATAGAGAATAATTTTTCCATAAAGCATTTGGGTTTCTTTTGTTTATCTCTTCATTAAACCATGCATATTTCGTCACTATTAAACACTGGACACGGGGTAAAATTTTCATTCCCACTGTAGATGCGTCGCCTTTCTGTAAGTAAGACATTGTAATTATTCTCCTCAAGCTCCACTTGTTATCACACACAGCTGTAATTGTAGGATCTATATTGGTCTGTGTCCTCTCTGCCTTTACAGCACTCAATACAAAGAGTGAGAATGCAGACAGACAAGCACAGTGAGTAAACAGGCGGCGGGGCTCAGACAGTTGGTCATAGCAGCATTGATGGCGAATTGTCAGTCGAAGGGATCTTTCGTTAGAGCAGGACTGAAGACTCGGCATCTGTAAAACGCTCTCTGAGGAGCATAGCAACCAGAACTGTTACCATAGCAATAGTTACCAAAAATCCCTCTCACACTCCCAGTCTCCCCCTCTCTATGTCCCTCCATATCTATATATCTGTCTAACACACACAAATCTGAGTCCACACACACACAGACACACACACACACACACACACACACACACACAAGCAGCCACAATAGCAGTATGAGACATGAGCATACAAGCAAAGCTTCTTGCTGGTACGAATTGTTTCCTCCCACGGCCCCCGAACACATCCCATCTGCACAGGGTTTCAGGCAAGCATGTGCTCTGGCCAAGCTGGATTGTGTCCATCCAGTTTCACACTTGGCCTCTTAAGATTCCAGGCCAGTCATGTAGGAAATCCAGCGTGTTAGTATTCATAGGAACATTCGTAAAATCCCTCTCTGGTTATTGATTAAATCCCCAAAAACTCACCTCCTTGTAGTAGAGGTAGGTCGACTGTTCAGATGTTTTGTTCATGAAAAAAAATCCCTTCGTGTCTTAAAATGGCTTTGATTTAAATCGACATTGTTGCTTCCTCTAGAATGTGCAGATCTATGAAGTCACCACTTATATAGTTGGTGTTATACTTTCCCAGTACGAGTTTTTCTGCAAGGGTCAGTGTGACATAAATATAGTCATTTCCACAAGTTTGTGGTGGTGCATGTCCATTTGCACGCTTCGTGTTCATTGTAAGCAGCCAGGAAGCGCATTCTGGTAGCACCGAATTGTGCCACTTCTCGTTTGCATAAAGTTGAAGTCAAGGCTACATTATGCATATTATGGGCAATTCAGCAAGACTCTGAAACCTCAAATGTTCTCAGAAACATGTTTTTGGTGAACAGTTCTTTAACAACATAGAAGAAAGTTTGTAAATGAGTTGCCATGTTGGTGTCGTGTGACATCTGGGAGCAGAAACCTACAAAGTGTTCACCCGATCAGGTGCGCTCAGTGTTTACGTGGTTTTCAGAGCCTGTATTGGTTTCCAGTTGGACAGCACCTATCAATCACCGGTTGTGAGACTGAATAGATGTACACTCATTAGGCGTTTAATGCTAGGTCATGGCACGACCCTAACCCTAACCCTACATTAACTCATCCATGTTACATATCGTCATGTTGCAGTATTGGACTAACTCAGCCATACATGTTCTAACCAGAAACCAATTATAAAGAAGACTTATGAAAGCCCCGCCCCACAAGTTGACAGAATTAGTTCCTTAGTTTTGTTATGTACGAAACCCCAAAGTCCAGTTTTTTGTTCCAAAAAAAATCTCAGTAAGTTCTGCAGAGTTCTACTCATATTTTCAGTGGGAAGCTTGTTTGTTTTTTAGTTCCCTGAATGTTCTTCCTAAAGGTAGAATAACTAGAGATGTTGTAAGATGTTTTAAAAATGTTTGGTGATAACACTGTTAGATCTTTACACCCTAAGACCCTCAAAACTAAATGTTGCATTGAGAACATCCTTCCTTTGTTTTCATTGTCAGAACGTCTTATAGACGTTATAGCAAAAATGTTCTACATTTAAAATATAACATTACAGAAATGTTCTAAAATGTTCTGTATTAAAAAAAAACATTGTCATCTGATAGCATTTGGAAAACACTTTTTCAATTTTGTTTTGAGAATGTTTTTCCTTTGTCATCATGGAGTCTGTGTTGCAACAACATCCTCTGAATGTTGATGTTAAAACATTATCTTGCCTTTATAGGAACAACACTGGAGTTGAAACTATTCCTAAAACATTCTTTGAACATTTGATGAAAACATTTTCTTTAAAGAATTATTAGAAGTTGTAAGTATGTTGTCCATTGTTGTGGGAATGTTCCCTGCCAGTTGAGAAATCTAACATCGTAGTTTTGAGCCTGTCACTGATGCGCTGCGGTCTCAAGGTGGAAACACTCTTGATTTCACTCATTATGTATCTTCTAGCATATAAGAAGCAACATATAGGCATGTTAACAAGTTAAAAAACTTGATTTCCACCAACCTGTTTGAAGATTAAGATGCAGCTCATCAGTGCTGGGGTCAAAAGGTCGAGACAGGGTGATCCACATCTGGAAATTCTGCCCTCTGCGGATAATGAGGTTGTCACTTTGGTAGAGATTTGTGTGATGCTCTGTGCGGTTCACCCCTGATTTGCTCTTCATCAGGTCTATTGATTGCACTTTCAGGAGGAGTTCTGGGAAAACAAAGATATGAGAGATTGAAATCATGAGGCTGACCTTTTTTTCTTGTTTTTTGTTTTTTTTTGATAAATAACACATTTGTGAGTCCTCCAATCACCATCAAGCTCGCTGTCACCAGTCCCAGGCTTTTCACCGTCTGTCCCGTTGTCCTTTTCCAGCTCATCAATCCCTGTGACCACAGTGTCTGTCAGGTCATTGTCACTTGGTTGTGGACAGCAGCAGGGACAGACCTTACGCAGCCACCGCCGACACGCATTCTCTTTCGTAACGCCTTCCTCCTCTGGTTCTTCATTTTCTTCCTCTGAGTCGTCCCCAAATCCAAGCGTGACAGATGGAAAACGTCCTACTGCAGATCTGTCTCTTATTGATCGCGTCTCTACAGGCATCCTGAGAAAACACAATTAGGAAATCCAGGGCTTTGTCATTAATAAGGCGCTGGCTTCCTTAAAAGGCCACTATTTTTTTTATACATGCTAGAGTTAACACCCTTGTCTTCACATTGAATTCCTTTGAGGCTGAAATTCTGATGTCTCAAAAACAGTAACATCTGATTAAACCACCACAGCAAGCTGTCTTAAAGGTAATCCATTGTCCAATTAATTTACAAGAGGAAGAGTTTGGCTTTTCATCAGTTCTCGAGCTGAGGTTAGCTTCTTTTTAAATCCTTCTAATCAACACAATCTCATGATGTGGGCTGACAGCCTGATTAGTGACGGCTCCTACGCAATAACATGTTTTAATTAGTCTTGACATTAAAAGTGAGAAAATTCTGATGCGAGTCCTTCATGTGATGGCAAGTGTATCTTTAGCATTACGCATCAGTTGGAGTGAATGTCACAAAATCTTACAGTTAAGAGAATTTCAAAGAAGAGTCCTATGTGCTGTGAACTGTCACTGTTCATGTTGGTTTGATCAACTTTGCATTTTTTCCACCACTTGGGGAGAAGCTGGGATTTAGTGTGTATTATCACCTTTAACCTAACCCTAGGTTAACCCTAACCCTAACCCTAACATTTAACCTTTAACCCTAACCCTAACCCTATATGTATGTATATATCTACATTTGCACTGCTTATTATTGTTATTATTATTATTATTATTGTTGTTGTTGTTGTTATTACTATTAGTATATATTTATTCCCTATCTTTTATATATATATCTTTTCTATATACCTCACATTCAGAAGCCCATTTTCATATTCTGTTTGCACTCTTCTCTTTTGTTTATATGTACATTTTTTTCTGTCTCGTATATGTGTATCTCTGTTTAATGCTGCTATCAACAACGTGAATTTCTCCACTGTGAGATAAATAAAGGCATATCTTATCTTATCTTATCTTATCTTATCTTAACTCATTATTCCTGTTGTCTATCGATTGTATTTAGCAATTATAACTCTATTACTTTAAAATCATATTTGAAACTGCTGGTTGAGAATAAGCACAGATACAGCAGGATGGTTGAGTCGGTGTGTACATTTGCAAAAACAATGTTGGACTTCATAGTTTTCAATGAAGCGGCTGTCATCATAAATTTACCAGAAGTTGAGCTGTTTATAAGAACGTAATTGAAAATATTACTTCCAATTCAGCAAAACAATAAAACTTGACAACTGAACGTAGATTATTACATTATAGATCTCTCTTGTCTTATATTGACTTAGCGTTGCACTGAAACGTGGATGCAGCAAGAAAAATATGTGAGTCTAAATGAATCAACTCCCCCCAGTCATATAGACAATCACATCCCCTCGAAGCACAGACAGCGGAGGTGGAGTTGCAGCAATTTTCTATTCAAACTTATTAATCCACCCGAGACCTAATCGTACAACTCATTTCAAAGCCTTACTGTTGGTCTTTCACACCCAAATGGAAAACACAAAAACCAGTTCTGTTAGTTGTGCTTCGCCCACCTGCCACTTACTCAGACCTTTTTCTTTCTTTGAGTTCTTATCTGATTTTATTGCTCAGAACCGATAAAGTCATTGTCGTGGGTGACTAACATCCATGTAGACGTTGAGAATTACAGCCTCAACGCTGCATTTAGTTTCTTCATTAGTTGTTTTTTCTCTTAATGCAAATAAATGAACTCACTGTTTCAGCCACACCCTCGTTCTCGGTTTAATACACGGCATAGAAATTGAACATCTTCTTCGAAACCCTCTTTCGTCTATTTTCAATATCGTTTGAATTTAGTGGACTAGAAGTCTATCTGCCACTACAAGAACTTAATATAAGGAAGCTATGCCATTCTGATTTAATTCAATGCCGATACAATAGAGCACAGCTACCTGAAAGTTGCTCCCACACAGGTGGAATATCTTGTTGCTAGGACTGCAGCCTCACTGTGTACAAGACTTGACACTGATGCCCCTTTGAAAAAGCACGCAGTGACAGTGAGAAGGCTAACTCCATGGTATTCTTCACAGGAACACTTCACTGACGCTGAAAAGGCAGAAGAATTTCCCTTTGCCCTAAAAGATAATTTAATGACTTTTTTTTTTTTTTTTTAAAGCCCCATGTAAAAATAGGACTGCATATTATTCATCTCTAATAGAGGGGAAAAGAGCAGGCCCGCGTTTCTTTTCAGCTCTGTAGCCAGGCTGACAAAAAGTCACAGCTCTGTGGAGTCTTGCATTGCCTTTATCTCTCAGTGGTGATGACTTCATGAGCTTCTTTACAAATATCATCGTGACTATCAGAGAAAAAAATATCACAGATGTGTCATTAGGTGAGGTGGCTCTGGAGGCGTCTGTGGGATGGGACCTGATTTATAACTGGACTGCATCTCTTCTGTGGAGCTCTTCATCTAAACCAGCAACACGTCTATTAGACTCCATCCCAACCAGAGTGCTGAAGGATATTTTTCCAGTAATTAACACATCCTTACTGTATCTGATCAACCTCTCTCATTAATAAGCTTTGTACCAAAGGCTTTTAAGGTTGCTGTAATTAAACCTCTACCTAAGAACCCTGCTCTTGATCCACTTATTTAAGTCAACTACAAACCTGTGTCTAAAAAAAACATCTTTTGAATAAGTTGTTTCAAACCATTTATCTGAACCTCTCTTGTTTTGTTTGAAGAGTTGGAATCAGTATTTAGAGCACATCATAGCACAGAAACAGCACCGATGTAAATCACCAATGATCTTCTCATAGCCTCAGACAGTGGACTCTAAACTCATCCTGTTGGATCTCAGTGCTGCACAACATCTTAGTACAGAGATTGGAACATGTGATTGGGATTAAAGGAACTACACTCAACAGGTTTAAATCGTGTTTATCAGCCAGATTCCAGTTTGTTCATGTTAATGATGTACTTAGCTATAGAGATCTATGTTAGGACCAATGCTATTTACTTTGTACATGCTCCCCTTGGGCAATACGATTAGAAAACACTGCATACACTTCCACTGTTATGCAGATGACAGTCAGTTATATTTATCTATAAAGCAAAATGAAACCAGTCAGTCATTCCCAAGCATTTGTTAATGATACGCTATGGTATTTGTCCTTAAACACACTATCTAATCAGATAGCTACTCTAGATGGCACTACCTTGACCTCCACCTCTACTGTAAGGAGGTTATTCTCAACCAGGGTACGTCCTTTAAGTAACACATAAAGCACATCTGTAGCACAGCCTTCTTTCACCTGCACAGTATTGTCAAAATCAGGAACATCCTGTCTCAGAGTGATGCTAAAAAAACAACGAGGCCATGCATTTGTAACCAGTGGGCTGAACCACTATACCTCCATGTGAATAGAATGCCCGAATAATTCAAAAAAACCTGCAACTGATATAAAATGCTGCAGCCAGTGTTCTGACAGGAACCCGTATAAGAGATCACCTTTCTCCCATATCAGCTTCTCTTCACTGGTTCCCTGTAAAATCCACACTAGAATTTCTAATCTCTTCTCACAATTTTCCTCACTTACAAAGCTCTTAACGACCAACCTCCATTATATCACAAAGACCACTTGCACCACATTATCCCAACACAACACATCGCTCTCAGACTGCAGGTTTACTTGCCATCATCCACATAGTTTCCAGAAGCAGAATGGGAGGCAGATCCTTTAGTTATAAGCTCCTACTTTGGGTTTGAGAGGCAGACATCCTCTCTACTTTTCATATGAGGCTTGAAACTTTTCTTTTTTTAAAAGATTATAATTAAGGCTGTGTGGCCCTGAATTATCCCTCAGTTATGCTACTATAAGATGTGACTGCAATAGGATCAGTCCTAAGTCTGATCCAGCATCATATCCGATTCCAAAAACTACAACAAACAAAAAAAGCCTCCAAACTGGACCCGTTCAAAAAACTGTAGTCCACAAACCAATAGGTGAAATCACTGCAGCTTCATCCATCTTTAATATAGAATTTATGCTGCTAAACACTTTTCACCCGATATCAGGCATAACAAGTAGCATTTGGACGCCACTTGTGACTCTACTTTAACAGTCTGTGTGACTCATTACATGCATTTTAAAAAAAAATCACATTATACGTGCATTTTATCTAATAATGATCTTCTTTATTTGTACCCGCAGGCGTACCACCTCTTTTCCTGGTTGTGAATCATTGAATTATATAAAGAGACAAAGAAAAGCCTGTTTTTGAAGTGCTGTATAATGAAATTTGTTCATTTAAATATTTGTTGCTAATACAGCCAAATTCATAGCTATTTTAGAGAATACATTTTGACGATGTAGAAAACCATAACGAGGAAAAAGAGCATGTCTGACTGGCGTGAACAGACTTTTTCTTTCATTGAGAATAACATAATGTTATAATTAGCAATTCGATCCACTACTTTTGCTGCTAAAACAGAGAATTAATCATATTGCTGTCTTGAATTGGTTGTTGTGCATGCAAGCAGAATTAACTCTCCTCTGCAAAAACTGTCAGGACACATCTGGAGCTGACTCACGGAGGCTGAACATCAATCTGCTTTAGGAGTGAGTGAAGGCATCCAGAAGGTTTACTTGGGAGTTCGGCACATGCTCTGATTCACAACTGTGCCAGGAATTCAAATGTGATTTTTTTTTTGTATAAAGATCAAAACACAAGGCTTTGTCACTTTATGGCAATGAAGTTTAGCAGCTTTTTTCTCAGGTGAACTGTCCCAAGAATTGAAGACATGAATTTTGAAAAACTTAAACAAGCCAAACTTTCCTAAATCCATTATATTTGACTTTCAGTTTCTCGCTCTGTTCCCTTGTTTCTCATTTCCTGGCCTCACACTCATTTGACTCCTAGACTTTCTACCTGCAAAGAAATGCTGTAAGCCCAGTGAAAGCCTTTTTCACATGCACTTCTCATTCCTCAGCAACAGCGGCTGTGACGTCTTCACCAAACAGGTTCGGATGAAGCAATAGCAGG